CGTGTCCGGCTGCTAACAGCGTGCTGACTTCTTTCTTCACAAACTCCCTCCGATCGTTGGCCAAATATCGTTTCTTTTGCACGACCAGCCGGTGCTCCGGGTCTACGGCGAGTCGATGCGATATGACCGATCGATCTACGCCGGGCATATCTTCTGGGCCCCAGGCGAAGACCAGCCGGTGCTCTTGGAGTACTCTCGTGATTTCCCCCTTTAACTTCTCCGAAAGGCCGACTCCGATTCTCACTCGCCTGCTTGGCTGCGCTGGGTCCACTTCAACTTCCTCTAGCTCGACGGCCGGCTCCGGGCGTGGTATCACTGTTTTCTTAGGGGGCCTTTCGGTGATCTCATGGACCTGCATCCCACGCTTGCCCATACCTCTACATGCCTGCAGATAGCAGTCGCGGGCGACCTTGCGATCACAACGCACCGTTCCTATTCCGTTCGGCGTGCGGAATTTCAGGCACAAATGTTCGATTGAGATCAGAGCCCCGAGGTCTTCCAAACCCGGGCGGCCGAGTATGGCGTTGTGTGAGCAGGCTAGATCGACCACGATGAACTTCATGCTCAACTGCTGCACGTTCGGATAGCTGCCGATTTCCACAGGAAGAGTGATGGACCCTTCCGCCTCCACCGAGTCCCTGGTGAAACCGGCGAGAGGGGTGTTCACGGGCCTGAGCTGTTCTCGGGTCAGCCCCATCTTGGTAAAGGTCTCCAGGTACAGTACGTTGACGCTGCTCCCGGTGTCGACCAGGATTCGGCGAACGACCACACCGTTGATGTCCATGGCGATGACCAACGCGTCTCGATGCGGGGTTTCCCCGGCTGGCAGGTCTTTATCGGTGAACACGATGGGCTCCCGACATATCTTTTTGGAGCTCTCTTCTCGACCATAGACTGTTCCGACATATAGCTGCCGAGCCCAGGCTTTTCGGGTGTTCGCGGAATCGCCGCCTTCTGGCCCACCGACTATCATGTTAATGACCGGCTTCTGGCGCCATTGGGCTTCGTCCTCTTCGGAAGCCGGCTGCTTACCTCGGCTGTTTTCTGAGTCGGCGACGGGTCCCTCACCTCCTCGACCGGTCGACCTTCGCTTCCATTGGTTAGGGGCGGTGTCCCTTGCTGGATGATCCCCTCCATAATCTTCTTTAGATAGTAGCATTCTTCTGTGCTGTGAGTATAAGATTTGTGATAGCGACAATATTTAGAAGTCTTACCCGTATCCTCGTCCGCTGCTCGGTCGTCCATCGGCGGAGGCGGAGGCGGGGCGACCGCCTGTACTTCGCGGACTGGTCGCTCTGGAACCGGTCGATAGGTGTGAACGATGGGTCGGTCATACGGTCACCTGACCTCGGGTCGCCGGGCGGCATCCGAACGCCTTTCTCTCGTTTCCACCCGCGTCCTTTTTCCACTGGCGGACCCACCGACCTCGCGCTGCCGTTTATGCTTCATGGCCTGCTCTGTGTTGGCCCTCTTATTGGCCATCTGGACAGCCTCCGCGTATGTCGCCGGGCGGTTGTCCCTTAGATCTCGATACAGCTGTCCGGATCGCAAAGATTCAATGAAGAAGGTGAGCGCTGTTTGGTCCTCCACCTCTTCTATCGACTGGATCTCCTTCTGCCAGCGAGCAAGATAGGCTTTCAAGGACTCGCCTTCATCCTGATGGATGTCGCCTAAGTGCGTCAGATCCTTCTGTGGCTTGATGTTAGCGGCATAGTGGCTCATGAAGCGGTCTGCCAGTTCCTCGAAGCTGTGGATCGACCCCGAGGGCTGACCTACAAGCCACCTTTGGGCTGGCCCCTTCAACGTGGGTAAGAAGGCACGGCACATGACCGGATCCCGCACTCCTAGGACTTGCATCTTAGCTTGGTAACTCAACAGGTGTTCTCGCGGGTCGCCTGATCCGTCAAATGTGGCTTGCTCCGGGAACTTAAAGTCGCCCGGTATCTTGAAGGCCATAACCTCGTCTGAGAAGGGCAAGGCGGTTAGCAACGTACGCCCCGGGGATTTGGCTTTTCCCTCCATCCGTTCTCTTAGATTTCGTACCTCTTGTACTAGGTTGGCCACTTCGACCCTTTCCCGGGTCCGATTCCCCGTGGATTCCGTGCTTTCGCCGACTTCAGACTCAGCCGGTTGGGCAGGGTTGCGAAGAGGTTGCTCCACGCGGCGAGTCTCAGTCCTGGCCCTTTTGGTTCGGCTCTTTTCTCGTGCAGCTTGTCGGTCGCGGACGACTAACGGGGCACGACTGGGCTCCCTCCGGCCTAATCGCTCTCTTGCCGACCGACGTCCGACGCTGGGTCCTAGCCGGGAATGAACGGACTGCACCGGCTGGCTTTCTGCCCGTCGGCTCAATTGCCGGTTGTCTGACCTCTGAGGCGGTCGCAACTCGCGTTGCTGCTGGCGAGTGATGGACTGTTCTCTCACTCCTAGACTCGCTTCCGCACAGGCGCGCCCGATTGCGCGCAACTGCTCCGGGGTGAGCAGCACTGGAGGTGCTTGCGGGTTTCTCCGCGGCGTCAGTGGCGGTGTCGTCTCGTTTTCTTGGCTTCGGGCGTTTCTCCTACTCAACTGGTTTCTCAAGTCGGCCTCTCGTCCGTTGTCTTGACGGCTCAACTGTTCCTCGCTTCCTGCCATATCTGGAGTTTGCCTGATTCAACTATGGTTCCTCGGACTCGCCTCACCCAAGAGGACACGTGACTCTTCGTTTCGATCCCCACAGACGGCGCCAGTGATGGTTTCTGGGTTTTCGGGCCCAAGGAGGTCCAACACAACCTTAAGCTGGTGGATACACCTTTCACAAAAGGGTTTGAGTCTTAGTAAAATATGATGCTTAATAGTACTTGTCTATTCCCTCTCCGGGTTCTCGAATCTGCCTCATACAAGGGTGGAGGAGCCCTCTTTATAGTGGCTCCTCCTCTACTGACTTAAAGGCTTATGATGGCCGACTTAAAGATTACATTCAATGTGCCGAGCTATTGGGCAACGTTACGGAATCCGCCAACGGCTCTCTTTGGCTAGTAACTGGCGGACCGAGCCCGGCCTTTAATGCCTCAACGGCTCCTTGTCTTAACTGCGTTGAAGGCTCCCTCAACGGCTCTCTGGACCGAGTCCTGTCCTAGGTCGGGCCTGGGCCGACTCCTCGTCCCCGTTTGGCATTGGGCCGTCCTTCCGGTCTCTGAACTGGGCCTCCCTTTTTGGACCTGGGCCGAGTCCTGGACTCGGCCCATGCATTCTTTCTGGGCCTCTTTTCTTGGGCCGGGGTTCTCACCCCATCATACTACTTTGTAAAGTACAAAAATTAAATTAAACAAAATAAAGGTATAATGACTAAATTGAACAAAACACTATAGTATATGAAACTCATATAGTCATTGGGTATTTTTACCCCCATTTACTCAATTGTTTTTCAGATAAATTCACACATAAGAGGAAGTGGAAAAAATAAGCAACTAGTGGGCGTGCCGGAGTGGTTATCGGGCATGACTAGAAATCATGTGGGCTTTGCCTGCGCAAGTTCGAATCCTGTCGCTCACGTTAAATTTCAATTTCATATATTTTTACTCTAAAATGTACTTATTTTAAGAAAATTATAATAAAATTTATCTTATCGTATGTGAATAAGCCGAATAGTGAAGACTTATGCATTTCATACACGTTTTCTTATACAAATTTACAAAAACTTCATAGAATGTGTAAAAGTTGTTTTCTCAAGTTTTTAAGTACTTTCTTTTTTAAAAAAGAAACTAATAAGTAATATATATCCAATGTGCAATTTAGTCCTGTTTGGTAAATGGCTGATAGCTATCAACTGTTAATTAATTGGGTTAATTAGAGGATATAACTAGTTGATACATTAACTGAAAGATGTTTGGTATAATTTCTTTTTTGAAAAGTTAATTGAAAAGTTACTTTGAACATCTTTTTGAATTTTAACATTTTGAAGTTACAAAAAATTATTTAATCAAACACTTATATTAATTTTTTACGCAAATCAAATAATTAATAGTGGTTAAATAAATTAATATCAGTTGATAGACTAACTATTCTATCAAACAGAGGCTTAAATGCTTAATCAAATGAATTTCCACTTGTATACTCCGTGTGTGTATATTTCGGAACTCGTATATTTTAATGCATTTGTATTCCCGAAACTGATAATGTAGTTATTGAGATGTAATTGGTCAAATGCTTGATACGTTAGTCGGCTGTTACGAGGAAACGAAGGGATAGATTGGAGAAAGCTAAGAAAGAAGATGGGCCAGTACACTACAGTTGTGGTAGGCATATCCTTAAAGCATATTTCACCACCCACCAGCTGGTTTAGTGAAAATTAAGGAAGTTTCGAACCAAATCACACGACGCAAAAGGAGGCGTACGTTGTATGAACGTTTGAAAACGTAGGAGACGGGTCGTCTTCTTCCCCTCTCTCTCTCTCTCTCTCTCTCTCTTTCTAGATGCCTCAAATTTGTTTTCTTCCCCAATATTTCTTCTGCAAATTAATAATAGCCATATAACACCCCACCTTCTAGATCCAATCATGACCTGTACAAAACTTAAGTAGTGGGCCCCATGACTTAATATAATTGGTTGGTCATCTTACTTAAAGGTCATGACTAGAAGTGACAATGTAAAGTTCGAATCTCACTGAAAACATGTATAAAAAAAATATGAAAAGTTTAGATTGAATCCTTTATGCACACATAAATACTAAGATATGACTGGTGCGTTAATTGCGCAACTCGTATTCTACCTCTTAATAATCCTAGAGGTCTTAGGGGCGGAGTCCTGTAGGTGATATTCCCAACTAAGATGCTGATTTCGCAACGCGATGACTCTAAGGGCTCTAAGGATGGGTCCTGTGGGTGATAATCCCAACTAAGTTAATCAGATCTCAGTTATGAATAACTTAGACTGATTTATTTCTAATCTTTTGTTGACTAGTACGTGCGCATAATAGTGATTGCGAATTTTACTCAATATTTGATAAAAAAAAAAAAGAAAAAACTTAACTAGTCGTTTTGCACATATTTTAAGCTATCTTATCTCATTATATATACCCACCACGCACCCACACGGTCTTGGAAGCTTCAATCATCATCCCGTTGGGTTTTCCAAAACCAAGCTAAGGAGACATGGCTTCATCTGCCTCCAGGCCTTATCTTCTTCTCATTCTTCTGCTCCTCCACCTTTCGTCGCAGAAGCATTCAAGATTTGCAGAAGCCAGGCCGTTGATTTCTCTCGCGAACCAAGAAAGCAGTAAGTTTCTTTTGTTTTCTTTAGTTAATTGCTGTATGTATAATTCTATATCCGCCCAGATTGGGAACCTATGTATATATATAGATCGGAGCTGATATAAACCTGGTTGAATTGCAGAATATGCGAAGCTTTTCGCGACGCTTGGGATGGTGTGCAAGTGTTGCGACGGCGCCGAGGTTTCAGACGGAGGAGGAGAAGAAGGGTGTAAAGTTTCATGGTCTGGTTCATGTTCAAAGCTTCAGTGCCTTCCATGGAAACTCAAATGATCCATTTTTGTACAGTCTCATGAGTTTAATTTGTGGTGTCTTTTAATTTGGTGCCAGCCAATCTGCAGATGTATATAATAGATCGAAATCTTGCCTTGTTACTCTGCCCTGCCCTGTATGTTTTATGTGAGGGATTTCTCTGGCTGGGATCCTTAAATTCTCCACAAATTTTCATACTTTTTGTCATCTCTCATCTTCAATTCTTCTCACCCAAAGTTTGTGGTTTCAGAGATCCATACATTTATGTTGTGTTTTGGGGAGAGGTTGGAACTAAATATCTATTTTGTAATATTATAGTTGGAGCAATTTATCACCATAATAATTCAAAGCATACTATGGATCAGATCAGAGTGGTGAATTGCTCTAATTACTATAATTTTTACTATTATTTTGTACATTCAATTTCACTATTTCCCAATGCACTTTTAATCATCCACTTATAAGAAAGAAGAAATACATTACGTTTCAGTAACATTATAGGTTGTCTCGAATTGAATTATGCAATATGTGTTGCTATTGTGGTGGTCAGGTAAATAGAACATTACTTTTGTATCAGAAAATCATAGAATTTGATTTTTTAGACACTTTTCGATTGAGTATGTTGTACGAGGTCGTCCTTTTCTATGCGATTTACAAATTAATATACAGAATTAAGATTTATTTAATGTATACTCTCAAATAATGACTGTGATAAACTATTTTAACATAGAATAATGTTACACACCATTTTCACATAAAATAATGCTACACACCATCTTATAATTTCTCTCCTTATGTAAAATTAATCCGTTCATAACACTAAATACTTATAAATCATATCATGAGTGAAAATGTTAAGAAAAAATTAGAATGGAAAATAGCATTTTATTTTAATATATTTAGTTATTATTTTGCAATTTGCATTGAAGTTACAAATGGTCTCGAGTTAAATTAAGAATTAAGCAATATGTGGTGTCAATATGTGGTTTTCTTAGGTTGCTGCAACGTTAAGGTATATCAAAATCATTAATAGGATGGATTATTTTCTCATGTTTGGTTTGTTATTACATCAAAATCGTCATTAATTCTGACAAATGTTGAAGGGTACTGGAGCCAAACGCAGCCTTAAAGACAAAATGATTAATTAGTGGCGTTTACTTGACCCAGTCAGCGGTAAAGACAACCTAGGGGGGACAAGAATTAGAAAGTGATCACTACGTTAAATTATTGTCCTTTTTAAATAGGTCCTTTTCACATTGCTATTTGCAAATTTGAAGACCAACACTTCAATAATTCACAATTTTATAATAAAAAATAAGAACCTATCGTACAAGATCTTTCTAATGTAATTTATATTTTATGTGTAATTTATAAGCTATTACATAAGATTGAGATTTATTAAATGTATGCATTCGAATAGTGACTATGAATTTCCATTGTTACGCAATAATAATAATAAGTGTACTATCAAGAATACAATTTGTTTTATTTTATACGCAGGAAAACAAAAAGAAGAAATAAATCCCAAAAGCTTAGAATAGTTTTTTTTACCCCAAAAAATATAAATTTTTATTTTTTTATTTTTTATGATTACAATTGAACTTTCTATAGTAATTGCTCCACATAATATGTGGAGCCTTAAATTGGGATAGTACTCAATTGAACATGTAACCTTTCGTTTGACCCGCATGGACAGTTCAACTGGTCATAGGGGTGAAAAGTTAGAAGAATAATCAGGGATTGAATCTCACCAACAACAGTGTGTGAGTGAGCTACCTCAAGTGAGGCTGGCTATCCCACGAGCCTATATATATATATATATATATATATTAAAATTTTAGAAAATGTAACTTTTTAAAAATTTTAAACACAAAAATAAAATTTTAAAAATTTACATTTTTAAAAACTCGTGGGACAAAAATTCTAGGTCCTAACCCGTCTCACCACGGGATGGTTTAGGGCTGACCCGTGGGCTTCGGCCCACCTTGACAACCCTTATCCCCTACTTTCAATGGAAGTGTAAGGTTGTAGATTCCCTTCCTGTAAAGGGTGCACATGATTTTTCTCTCCAATAAAAATCAAACTTTGCTAACGCAATCTACACCCACTCACCTAGGTTGAATATATATTAGAAAATAACAAATATGTTCTAGAGAGTACAATTATCATCATATATCTATATTTTATTAGAATAAGTAAATAATTGTGAAAATACATGTTGTATTACTCAAAATTATAACTCACTTTTTTTTTTCTTTTTCTTTTTGTGTGAATAAATCAAAGTATAACAGAGAGTAAAATAAATAAAATAAAAGGTGAAAAAATATATAGTATTGCTCTTTTATAATGTGCCTTTTACTGCTCTTAAAGGCCGGGGAGCTTATTTATTTCTTTATTTTTTTATAGTAATATGAGAAACATAAAGCTGCTATTCAAGGTTACGTTGTGCATTTAGGCAAGCCTACCTGGCTATCTTGTGATCTTAGATGATAAAAGATCACAATGAAGTAAATCAGTTTAGATCGATTTTGATAATAAAATAATGAGTATTTTGAGCTTGAGACTGGATTATAAAGAGAATAAAATATTAGGTTAGATAGAAATGGGCTATTAATTATATGGTTAATAGTTTGAATAAATGGAGGGATAATAAGGTTAACAATATTTTGCTTGTTCGTAAAATTATTGTTAAACTGAATTTAAAAATAATAATATTTGGTTGACTCGTTATACTGTGACATATTAGGTACAAAAATTATTAAATACATAACATAGGAAGATATATTCCACAATATACAAGCTCAAGTATAGAGAGGTCGTTTCAATATAATTTTTTAATAATTGAAATCTAACACGTTATAAAAGAGTTTTTTGAAAGTAAGGAAGGGGGGTACCCAAGAAAAAAATTACATGGTGGGACTATCTATTTGTTTCCAAACAGGAAGGCCAAATCTGTCTTCTTCTGTGAGGTGCATCAAGCTCTCCGGTTCTGTGTCATGGATTTTAAAACCACTTGATATATCATGAAGCTTGGCTAGGCCGTCTGCCACCCGGTTCTGCTCCCTGGGAATGTATGAAATTATCCAATTTGCAATATTTAAGAGTTCCCGATTGCATGCATGAATAATATTCCTTGCGACGTTGTCCACCGTCCCGTTGCTATTCATTGCCTTGACTATTCTTAGAGAGTCACTTTCGAAGCATACTTTCTCTAGATTTAGAGAGATAGCTAGTTGGATACCTTTGAGGAGTGCCCAGGCTTCCGCAGCGTCGATTGAGCAGGCTCCAACTGAGTAAGAAAAACCTTTAATCCAATTGCCATGCTCATTTCTGATAACTCCACCGCATTTTGCATGCATAGCCGTTGGGCTCAGGGAAGCGTCGGTATTAACTTTTGACCAACCTTGCGGAGGCTTCTTCCATTTGATAAGTTTCCAGTTGCGAATTGATGATCCTGTACCCAATGTGCTTGCTTTGTTGAAGGCATCATTTATTTCCTTGCATTGCATGTGAATCCAATATATTTTCTGATTCAAACTTGGGTTCTCCTCATTGAAAATCCTATCGTTCCTCCATCTCCAAATCCACCATAGGGCGACTGCGAATGTGATTTTGTTGCTCTGGCTACGTCTCTTGCAGTACCAGCCTTCCAAGCCTGCATCCAGCCAGTCCAAGAAGTTTGAGCCGTGGTGTGGTCTACTTGTGTTGGGTAGCAAGTTCTCCCATAGTTGTCTAGCCATCGGGCAGTTGCGGAGGATGTGTTCCGTTGATTCCACTTGGTCATGGCATAGATCACAGCTGGTATTCTCTGTAAATCCTCTCTTGGCTCTATTCTCATTGGACATAATTTTGTTGTGCCTTACTAGCCACATGAAAAATTGCATCTTGCTTGGGACCTTCAATTTCCATATGTTTTTCCATTTGCGCGACTCTGGATACGGCTGTTGATTAGATATAAGGGAGTATGCAGACGAGACACCTGATGAGCTGGGGCCCCAGCCCACCACGTCTTCTCTTTCGCCATCTAGTATGACAAAGGCCGCTAGTTTTTGCAAAGTTTGCATAGGTAGTACGTTTGTTAGCTCTTCCCACTTCCAACCTGTTTCATTGTCCCAGTATTCTGAGACTGGAGCATACAACACTGGTAGCGGTAGGTTTACTGTCACTAGATTGATCAAAGGTTGTTGCTCGATCCATGGCTCCATCCAAAATAACGTGTTTCTGCCGTTTGCGACAATCTTTTTAAGACCTTTCTTGAGGGTAGGTGCTGCATTAAGGACTCCTTTCCAAGCATTGGACATCCCTACCTTTGGTTGCCATGTGTTGGGATCAGGGCTGTGAACTCCATATTTTGCTCTTATTATTTGTGCCCATAGGCCTTCTTCTTCGTGGTGCAACCTCCATCCCAACTTTGCCATAAAGGCTAGATTCATAGTTTCCAAATTTTTGATGCCGAGCCCTCCATACTCTGTGTCCTTGGTAACAGTCTCCCAGGCTACGAGGTTAATCTTCCTTTCTCCATCCTTTCCTCCCCATAGGAAGGTTCTTATTAGTTTCTCCACTTCTTTGAGGACTCCCAGAGGTAACATCGTTGATTGAAGCGCATAAATGGGTATCGCAGATAGGATGGACTGGGCGAGTATTCTCCGACCATGGAAAGCGTTTTCATTTTCCATCTAGCTAGTCTGTTTTGGACCTTATTCACAAGCCCTTGGAACGAATCCTTTTTAATTCTGCCATGTAGAGAGGGGACTCCCAAGTATCTGCCTAGATCATCAGTTCTTGCAATATTGAGAATTCTTTCAATCGACTGCCTTTCGTTCGCAGGAGTGTTCTTCGAAAAATACATTAGGGATTTGTGGAAGTTTACTTTCTGACCTGAGCTTTCACAGAATAGGTCTAGGCAGTTCTTAATCACCTGCGCTTGTTGTGTTGTAGCCTCACCAAATAGTACCATATCATCTGCGAACATGAGATGTGAGATGCTAGGGCCACTTCTAGACACGCTTATTCCTTTCCAAGCTCCTTCTTCAACCTTTTCGTTAATAAGGTGACTTAGGCGTTCAATGCAGAGCACAAACAGTAGCGGTGATATGGGATCCCCTTGGCGGATTCCCCTCGTAGGCTTGAACCATTGTGACCTTTGTCCATTTAGGGTGACAGATAATCTTGTCGAGGCGATACATCCCATAATATTCCTAGTCCAGATCTCGTTGAAGCCTGCAGCCCTGAGAGTGTTCTTCACAAAGCTCCATGACAGCCTATCATAGGCTTTCTCAAAGTCGATTTTGAGGATCATCAGACATGTTCTTCCTTTTTTGTGGTTCGCTGTGTTCAACACTTCTTGGTAGGCAATAATATTGTCTACTATTTGTCTGCCGGGTACGAAACTTGACTGGTTCAAGCCAATCAGCCTCTGGATGGCTGCTTTC